TTTATATATGTCAGTCTTAGCACTGAACTAGTCAATTTTGTGCACTTTCTTTTCAGACGGCATTCGCGGCATGGTTTCCATTATTATTCACTATGGTCAGCATACTGGTGAAATCAGAAATGTGAATCCAGAAAATTATGGTTACCTAAAATTTTTAGAAGATTTGTGTGGACTGCCATTCATTCGTGCTATTCTACATCCTTTTGCCATAAACGTATATGCTTCTATCCCTGACACACTCGACAGAATGGTGCTCCGCAACGATTCAGATATGGCGATGATGTTTCAATTGAAGTATCCCTGTAGAACGTTGATTGTTTTCTTTGAAATAGAGGAAATAGGTTATCCATTAGCTACCTGCTTTTGACACGTGTTATGTTATGTTATGTAGTTGTGACACATGTTTAAAACATAAATAAAGTTGTGACATATGTTATATGATGTGGGAATGGATCCTCTGCAAGGAAAAATTTACATTTAAAGCATATATGTATATATATATATATATATATATATATATATGTATATATAAAGAATATATTTATAAAAGGTTAGTGTGAATTCATACCTTAAGGGGTAATGGGACCGCTGAAAAAAAGGAAGGATGTGAACAATTCACATAAGTAAAAAATTAAAATTTATAGAATGAAAACAGTACTACCCAAATATATTTAAAAAAAAAAAAAAAACAAAATTAATAAAAACTACCCAAATATCCATACACAAATTAAATAAGAATTACAAATATTAATGAATAAAGTCCATTGTGATGTGCCGAAAGTCCGCACACAAACCCAATAAAAATGCAAAATTACCCAAATAATCCTTCTATGTGATGTTACGAAAGACGACCTTGCAAAACCATGATATTTAAATCACACCAATAACGATTACAATTGATGACATCCTTGTTTATGATCTAACAATTCCAATCAATATGGTTGCCTTCGGGACAACATTTTGGAACATGCGTAAAGAATGACCGATTACAGACAAAACTCCTCTAAATAATTGTTAACATCTTTCTACGGGCAGACTTGATAGAAGGGCTCAGTATTGAATTTGTCCTCAACAACGTTAACAAATTAATCCCCGCCTCTTTGTCCGCTTCACTGGAAAATAATAATGCAATACACATAGGATAGAGGGTTGGGTAACCATTTTTACAGAGGAAAGCCAACTCTATTTTTTCATTGTAAACAATCCAATCAACCTGTGAAATTTTTTTTGCATGTTAGACCTTACAAATAAATAAAGTGTAATACGTAAAAAAGTACACATGATCTTACTAAACATACCACTCCCCTAATGAACTTTGCAACATGATCCCTAGATTGAAAACATTGTTCCAGGTACATACGTCTTGCTAGAATACTTTCATCTGGTCCATTACGTGCAAGTAAATCAATTGTTGCAGCGTATCGCCGTAGACCCGTCGTTCATGGTCCAATGCCCAATTCTGTCGTTTCCCTACATTTTAAATACAAACAACACCCATATTCCTCACTTCAATAATGAAGACCCATAACCTTATAATGCATGTAAATTGTAAAATATAAACATAACTCACCATGCATGCTTCTCCGCACTATTTGTAAAAGTTATAGCCTCAACTCGTCTAACCACATCTTCAATCGCAGTCTATAGAACAGAATCCATGGCTTTCGAATACATGCACCGACTAGATATGGCAATATAAATAGACACATGAATTAACCGTTTATACTTTGCCTAGGGCAGTTAAATAGTCAAAACGTTTCAATATAACAACGGTTAGAAAGGTAAAGTGGAAGTTCCCACGTCTGGATCATTTAAACGTTTTTTTAAAGTTCATTTATGTTGTCCATGTGTACACATGTACATTTTAAAATAAATTTTTATCTGAACGGTAATTTTTTTTTTTGACTTCTGTTACGAAATAATTCCTACATTACATATATATTAATTACGACAACACATATGAAATCGTTTTGATGTTATTCCCAGTAATTTAATTAGAATATAAGTATTACAATAAAGGTACAACTCCATAAATAACATTTGTTACATCCACTTACATTAGAAGCGTAAGATGGAAGTTCCCACGTCTCAATCATTAATACGTTTTTTTAAAGTTCATTTATGTTGTCCAACTGTACACGTGTACATTATGAAATAAAATTATCTTTTCAAATTCATTTTTGTTTTGACTTTTGTTACGAAATCATTCCTACAGTATATATAAATTAATTACGATAAAACATATGAAATCATTCTGATGTTATTCCCACTAATTTAATTGGATAATAACTATTACAATAAAGGTACAACTCCACAAATTATATTTGTTACATCCACTCACATTATTTCTTTCTACCATGTCTTGGAGGTGGAATTACAAAGTCATCATCTGCTGGGTCTGAAAAATCAGACATTTCTGAATCTGATTTTAGGTCTGGGTCATTGAAGATGGTGGCCAACTGTTCTACCGGATCTTCATATGTTTCTTTAGCATGTTTCACTTTCTGGAACTTACACCACCTTACATATAGTTGCCGGATCTCGCGTTTGATTTGACCAATAACGGAATCCATATTTGATGTACCAGAGAGCTTCATTTCAAGTGAACGGGGTTTTGGAATTGACAGACCTTGTCTTCTGCACTCTGCCACAATTACACCCCTAGCATTCGTTAACTCATTATACCTAATACGATGTTGTCGCTCACTGTCTAGATCAGGCGGATGTGGAGGTGGACCGCCTTCCACAACTTGAATATCATCTTCTACCACACCAATATCCATGTTTAACAGTTCACCATGGAAGTGGGCATTCCATCTACCCAGGGCTTGAACAGCTTCTGCATGAGTTTTGTATGGATAATACCTTGCATCAGCATACCCTCGTGTCTGTGCCTTTGCTTCCGCCAACTTCGTGTATATACCAACATTCCGACCCTTCACTATAAGGTAAAACCGACAGCCAGCCATTGTTTATACTTTGAAGGGCTGTCAATTTAAAAATGGGATGGGACGACTGCTATGGAGATACAGATGCCCTAAATATAGATCTGAGGCATAGCGTAGGTTGAAAATAATAAGTAGGGTCTTTAATGTTCTAAACAAACCATTCAATTGTAATGAAGGCAAGGAATAAATGGTCAAATATAAAGTGTTCAATATAAATAGGGAAGTGCAGTTCTGACTTAAATACAATATTTTTTACATAACAAATATACTGGAGTAGAAGATATCATGTACAGTGACACCCCTACAATATCTTGACCACTCAGTAAAATAAAGGAAGTGCAACCATGGCAATAACGAAGAAATCGCGATGAAATACACTTATTGTACCCTGCTACCATATCATGGTAATTCCTGGAACCCTTGTTGCTCAAATGTAGAATTCATGTTTGGCATTTGGATCATTGGCGAGAAATTTGTGTCACGTACAACATCTACATCAACTCCCTTTTTATATCACATGCATGCAAAAATAGGTCGTTAAATTTCTTAAATAATTTCATGAGTTTAATTAATTTAGATGACATCACATACCTGGTTATTTAATGGAGTCATGGGCTGACCAAAATAAGTAACCGGACTGTTATCCCAATCGTGGCCCTATGTTGAACATGTTGGCATATAACATTCATCGGAGCAGAAAAACTCTACCGGTATTTCAGCACCCTTCACCAAAAATCATCACTTCATCAGTACGTTAGACTATAGATCGAGTAGGGGATATATAAAACACAAAACAAGACTCACATTGTTTAGAATATACGTAGGGGTTGTCGTAGTACGACTGCGACATGGCACAACGGCCTTTCTCTTCTTCGCAGTGGCTCTCTCCAAAGCAGGTATGAGCCTACGTCTTCTTCCTTTCAATGTATCTTTCGTGGGAATCCCTTTTAGAGTCAATCCTTCTATGGTTTGCGCATGACTATTCAACTCTATATTTGTAAAGCTGTTTCCCATGGCATTGGCTCGTGCGGTTTGGTTACATGCAGGCCTGGGATTAGGTTGTGCTCCTTAAGCAATCTTCTTCAAACTTTTCACCTGCACCAAAACATTGTTGAATCCCTCCTCGCTCACTGATGCAATGGCAAAAATTTCAGTTAGATAACGACAAAGGATCCTGTGTCGTCACCTAATTTCCAATCTAGGATCTGTAGTAACATCGATGCCAAGTATGTCTTCCACCCTACTGTCCTTGCCATTTCTGGTCCACCTTTTTAAAATATAGTGGCTGGGTATTTCATTGGCATACATCACATCTTTAAGGACTTTCAGAGTGTGGCTGCACATGATACCCTCCATTTCAAATTTTCCACATGAACATGATAATAAGTCATTTGTCCTTGTGACGACCCGATGGAAGTTATCATTATAAACCGCAACTTCATATGAAAAAACCCCATTACCAAGGTCGTTGCACTTCCGGACATTTTCACTCATGCCAGCTACTATTAACTGTTCCTGAAAAAGGTCAAAGATGTTAGTAGTGTACAGACATCCGACTTGATCTAAAATATGAGACCTTGCTTTCAGCCTGGGCATCTTATGCAGCAAGTCATACTTAGCTGCATACTCCTTATATCGCTTGTCGAACAAAAGCGTTTCAAAATGCTTGAAAAACTCTGGCAGTGCATATTGTCTCGCTAAGTACTGTTTTAAGCGAGCATTAAAGCTCTCACTAAGCTGTGTGGTACGCATACCAGCCGACCACACATGTTTAACGTATGCCCTGGCCCATACATGTTTCAAACCAAATAAGTTGGCCAACCACTTGTTATTCTCTACAGCAAATTTATTTTCCATCCACGCCCATTCCAGCAAGAATTCTTCCTCACCCTCAATCTTGTACATTAATTTTGATATCACACTTTTTATGCCTTTCCCACCAACAGACAAATTCCCAATATGCTTTTGGGCATTCTACATTAGGTGCCATGTACATAGAAGGTGTTTTGTATCGGGCATGACCTGGACTAATGCCTTTGCCATTGCAGCGTCTTAGTCGGTCAAGATCGTCCTTGGTGTTTTATGGGACATGGCATTCAAGAATGTATTGAATAACCAACCAAAAGAATCGGTTGTCTCATCATACATGAAAGCTGCTCCAAGCACAACTGTCTCCCGGTGATGGTTCAAACCGAGAAAAACTGCAAAAGGCCTATTCCCATGAACAAGTTTGTACGTGGTATCAAATCTCAGCACATCTCCAAAATGGCTATAATCTGATATCATTTTTGAATTGGCCCAAAATATATTTGTTATCATTGCACTGTTGTCCAATTGCACGGCATAGAAGAATGATGGATCTTCCCAACACTGTGTCTGGAATTAATTCATCAGCCAATTCGCATCACCAAGTTCAAGGTCGTTCTGTCTTCTCGTCCGAAAATAATTTTGTACATCAACCTTCATGAAGCCAATACTTTCTCTACCACCAGATTGCCTCGAACTTAACTCAAAGGCTTTACGAACTGGTATTCCACAATCGGCAGCCAACTCCACATCAATAGCTTGCACTGACTTTATTTTTCGTTGCGATGGCATTATGTGGGCACAATCCTCACTAATAAGGGGATGGTTGTGAGTATCTTTAAAATCTTTGACAATGTACTTACCAAATTCCATATTAAAGGTAATAAGCATGCGTGCATGACAATCAGTGCATGTTTCAGCTCTTCGATTCTTTATTTTCCTCTCCCTCTTGTCCTCACCTCTTTTTCCCTCCTTGCAACAAACAAAATTTCTAGATGTTAGTTTTCCATCCTTCCGACTGTTGTTTTTATATTCTCTCCGAATACTAAAACCCACTCTGCCACCATATTCATTGTAAAAATCATAAGCCGCTTCTTCAGAATCAAACTGCATATCAACGTGGGGTATCCATTCTACTTCAGGAATTTCGCAAACTGAATCACTATCTGTCTCTTCAATGTTAATAATTGTCTCTCCAATAGCCATAACTATAATAGCAGACCTACAAAAACATGACAAAAAAGTAAGTATATCTTAACAGCACAACATTTATATGACATATGTCAACAGTTTCACAAATACAACATCACATTTTTCACCTAACATATCCACATCAAATTTACTTCTACACTAATATCATGCATTGCCATTCATGCATCCATTTTCTAACATGTGCCATAAGAAATACATGCAACATACTACAATTGTACACTGCTGTAAAATACATAAATACAACATCACATCTTTCACCTAACATATCCACTGAAAATTTAATTATACACTAGTATAATGCATTAACATTAAAACAATAACTTTCTAACATCTAGCATACGTTGCCATAACAAACAAATCTAACACCATTCAAGTGTACACTAGATATGCAAACAACTGGTTGCAAATATAATTTCACATTCACAGCACAACCTTTGTATAACATATGCACCAGTTTCGTAAGTACAACATCACATATTTAATATAACAAATCCACATAAAATTTAGTTGTACACTACTATAATGCATTAACATCCAGCCAAGAAATTTGTAACATGTGGCATATGTTGCCATAACAAATACATTTAACATAATTCAAGCTTAAATTAGACATGCAAACAATTAGTGGCAAACATAATTTGACCTTCACAGCACAACTTTTTTATAACATATGCCAACAGTTTCATAAATAGAATATCACATCTTTCAGCTAACACATTCACATAAAATATACTTCTACACTACTATGATGCTTTACCATTCATACAACCATTTTCTAACATGTGCTATATGTTAACAGATCAAATTCATATAACAAACTTCAACTATATATTACATGTCAAAACAAATGGTGTCAAACATAATTTCCCTTTCTCACCACAACTTTTATATAACATATGTCAACAGGTTCAGAAATACATCACATATTTGCCCTAACTTATCCATTAAAAATTTACTTCTACACTACTATAATAAATTACCATTAATGGAACTTTTTTTTAACATGTGGCATATGTTGCCATAACAAATACATCTAACATAATTCAAGCTTAAATTAGATATGCAAACAATTGGTGGCAAACATAATTTGACCTTCACAGCACAACTTTTTTATAACATATGCCAACAGTTTCATAAATAGAACATCATATCTTTCAGCTAACACATTCACATAAAATTTACTTCTACACTACGATGATGCTTTACCATTCATGCAACCATTTTCTAACATGTGCTATATGTTAACAGATCAAATTCATATAACAAATTTCAACTGTACATTACATGTCAAAACAAATGGTGTCAAACATAATTTCACTTTCTCACCACAACTTTTATATAACATATGTCAACAGGTTCAAAAATACAACATCACATATTTGACCTAACCTATCCATTAAAAATTTACTTCTATACTACTATAATAAATTACCATTAATGGAACTTTTTTTTAACATGTGGCATATGTTGCCATAACAAATACATCTAACATAATTCAAGCTTAAATTAGATATGCAAATAATTGGTGGCAAACATAATTTGACCTTCACAGCACAACTTTTTTATAACATATGCCAACAATTTCATAAATAAAGCATCACGTCTTTCAGCTAACACATTCACATAAAATTTAATTCTACACTACTATAATGTTTTACCATTCATGCAACCATTTTCTAACATGTGCCATATGATAACAGATCATATTCATATAACAAATTTCAACTGTACATTATATGTCAAAACAAATGGTGTCAAACATAATTTGACTTTCTCACCATAACTTTTATATAACATATGTCAATAGGTTCAGAGATACAACATCACATATTTGACCTAACATATCCATTAAAAATTTACTTCTACACTACTATAATGGATTACCACTAATGCAACTTTTTCTAACATGTGGCATATGTTGCCATAACAAATACATCTAACGTAATTCAAGCTTAAATTAGATATGTAAACAATTGGTGGCAAACATAGTTTGACCTTTACATCATAACTTTTTTATAACATATGCCAACAGTTTCATAAATAGAATATCACATATTTCAACTAACACATTTACATAAAATTTACTTCTACACTACTATAATGCTTTACCATTCGTGCAACCATTTTCTAACAAGTGCTATATGTTAACAGATCAAATTTATATAACTTTCTTCAACTGTACATTAGATATCAAAATAATTGGTGTCAAACATAATTTGACTTTCTCACCACAACTTCTATATAACAAATGTCAACAAGTTCATAAATACAGCATCACATATTTAACCGAACATATCCATTAAAAATTTACTTCTACACTACTATAATGAATTACCATTAATGCAACTTTTTCATAACATGTGGCGTCTGTTGCCGTAACAAATACATCTAACATAGATATGCAAACAATTTCTGGCAAACATAATTTTTACATTCACAACACAACTTCTTTATAACATATGTCAACAGTTTTATAAATATGACATCAAATCTTTCACCTAACATATCCATATAAAATTTACTTCTACACTACTACAATACTTTACCATTCATGCTACCATTTCCTAACATATGTCAGATGTTAACAGATCAAATACATCTCAAATACGGCAACTGTACACCACATATGAACACAGTTGGTGGCAAACCTAACATATGCACATATAATTGACTTCTACACTACTATAATGCATTACCATTAATGCAACCGTTTTATAACATGTGGCATATGTTGACCTTAACAACACAACTTTTCTATAACATATGTTAACACTTTCATAAATACAATATCACATCTTTCAATATTTGGGATATACAAATACTATTCTACAATTTTATTCAAACTGAAAAATAATAAAGTTTAGGATTGGACAAGGCTAAAACAAATGAATATGGACATAACATTGGCACAAGAACAAGCTTCAAAATGGTATATGCATATACAATCGTAAACTTCTATTATAACTGATCACTAATATAGTTCATTCACAAATAAAGTTTATTTCACAAAGGCTAAAATAGATAAATATGGACATATAATAGGCAGAAGAACAAGCAACAAAATCGGATATATGCATATACAATACAAAAATTTCTTTGTTCAGTGATGACTAATAGGGTTCATTCAAAAAAAGAGAAAAAGGCTAAAAAAGATAAATAGGAACATTAAATACGCACAACAACAAGCTTCCCAATTCTCAGGTTGCCTGAAAATAAGAAGCATTCATGCTCATCAGGACTAATAACCCAGCCTTCAGATTTTTGGATTACCAATAATTACCACCGGATTTCATATATCATTATGAATAAAGTTACAAAAAATTCAAAATAACAACCTAATACTTATAATGATCAGAGCTTCTAGCCGGACTGGTTGATCGGAGCTTCAGCTGATCACCGGAATGGATGATAGGACATTCACCTTGTCGCCGGAATCCTTCACCTTCTTGCCGGAATGGATGATCGCAGCTTAAGCATCTCGTCAGAAGGTAGATTAAGAAGTTCAGCTTCTCGCCGAAATATATGGCGATTTTTCCCAACCGAGGCTCTCAACTGGGTCATTCTCTTCAAAAATCTTTATATGCCTAAATCCTTGACCTTCTCTTCATAAATCTTCATCTTTATGTGTTGGTTTACAGAGCAGAGGCTTCGATTTTATGTGTTGGTTTACAAAGCAGAGGCTTCGTGTCTTCGTTTTCGGTTTATAGATCAGAGCAGAGAAACATCACATATCAGAGGCATATATCTGTATATATATATATCAGATCAGTTTTGGCTCCAACCTTAATTTTGGTTTTGGGGGGAATTTTGAGTTGAAAATGAAATACAGAAAGGGAAGGTATATTGAAAACGTATAAGCAAAACAGAATGAGTATAAGCAAAGCAAAACGTATAAGCAGGTATCCGGAAAATTACAGTGCTTCTCTCTTTTACCTGCCTTGCCACCTCATCCGCGGGTCCCACAACTGGACCGGTTCCAGTGAGAAGCGACTGGAGACGATTTTTATCCCAACTTTAACCCATTTGCCAACTCAGCAATTTACCCCAGTCCAGTGAAAGAGGCAATGGAGACGATTTTTGTCCTATATGGTTAATATATATGTTAGAGAATGTGTGTTTTAAAACAAAAAATTATGTTTACTTTTCATTTTACATTTTTTTTTTTTTTTGTGTAATTTTTTTATTTTATAAAACAAATATGGTACATTTTTTTTTTTTTTTTTTTTTTTTTTGGGTTAGAATAATGTGATTTAGGCTTTATAATTTTTGACAGGAAATTTTTGAAAAGGAACAGAAACCTTTTTAAATAGTGGGAATATATTTTTTTATGTCTTTTTATTCTTATTTTTTATTTGTGAGAATTAAATAAGGTGATTTAATGACACCTCATTAGAATTTTTATAAAAAAAATAAAAATTGAAAATTGTATGAATTATAAGGTGATTTAATATTTAGTATTTAATGAAAATTATTTTGTATTTTTTAAAAATATAAATTTAAAATAAACAATAATGTATGAAGTGGAGTGGATGTGTGTTGTGTGCTTTAAAAACAAAAAAAAAAGTATGTTTTCTTTTCCTTTTACATTTTTTTTTTCTTTTTCTTTTTGTTGCGTGTAATTTTTTTATTTTTTATTTTTTAAAACAAATATGGTAGATATATATATTTTTTGTTTGGAATTATGTGAATTAAGCTTTGGAAATTTTTGGGAGGAAATTTTTGGAGAGGTAGTATTTAATGAATATTATTTTGTATTTTTTAAAATTCTAAAATGTTAAGAAAGAATAGGATATATAGAGATAGATATAAATACAGGGATTATAATTAAATTATCACTGACGAGGACTCGAGTATTGTCTTTGCTATGGATATGAAAATTGGAACAGGAAAGAACAATATACGGAGTACACACCCAAACACAGCCGAAGAGGCCTAAATCAACCAGAAGTGTAGCGAAATCATCATAAAGCAAGGCAAGACAAACAGGCAGAACTCAAGCGGCGTGTGACGGTGGCAATGTCGTCGAACGGCGGAGAGCTTCCCCAAGAACTAGTCTTTGACATACTCTCTCGACTCCCCGCAAAGTCTCTCTGCCGATTCAAATGCGTATCGAAGCCATGGCATTCTCTAATCTCTGACCCTTATTTCGCCAAAACACACCTCAACAACCATAGACGCGAGCGACTCATTTTCATGTCTTATAAATCTCTTTACTCTGTCGACTGCACTGAAGCATCAAGCTCTTCAAAACCTTTCCCCAAGTGTAACCTTGATCTCAATCAGCCACCACAGGATGCTGTGATTGCAACAGAGATTGATTTCCCACCGATTGAACACCACACAGACTGGTTCGAAATCTTGGGTTCTTGCGACGGTTTGCTTTTGGTTGTTAACGAAGTAGACAGGTTTTTGTTGAATCCATCAACTAGAGAATTCAAAAAATTACCCAAATGTCCTCCGGTCTTCAACTCACTTTGTACCTTCACCATGTGTGGACTTGGGTACGATTCGTCTGCAGATGATTACAAGTTTGTCACAGTTGCCTGGGATACTGATACTTGTGTAATTGTTTATTCAATGAAAACCGGTTCTTGGAGGAGTATTCAAGATGTGCCCTATGAGTGTTCTCTTGTGGAGGATTTTCTTGCAGAGACTTCCTGGTTGGTTCTTGCAAATGGGTCTCTACACTGGTTAACTTTCAGGTCTTCTGATGGCGTGTCTGTGATTGCTGCCTTTGATGTAGCAGATGAGAATTTCCATGATGTGCCAACACCAAGATCACTTGAGAACTATGTGTTGGGGTTGTGTGAATTGGGTGTTTTTGGAGGGTGTCTCTGTTTGCTTATACAGTTTGTTAGTACTGGTAATTCTAACCAAACTGATGTCTGGGTGATGAAGGAGTATGGGGTGGCCGAGTCTTGGACCAAATTTACAATCGATTTACCTCAAGAACGCATGATGATGAGACCCTTATGTTTTCTGGTGGATGGGGAGGTTCTGCTTGAAACTGACGGAGATAAATTGGTTGCATTTAATGTTAAAGATAAAACATCAAGAGGTATAGCAGTGTGTGGCATGCCAGCTGCATTTACTGGAAGGCAAACCTATGTGGAGAGCCTTGTCTCACCCTCTTACAAAACTGGGATCAAGAGAAAATATGAAGGGAGTGAGAGACTTGAAGAGTTATGAGCTAGATAGGTAAATACATGATTCTATTCTGTATCTTTTTCTATTTAATTTTCATATATTCGTATTATATATGCCACCATGGTATGGAACTTTTAGCATCTGCATAACAATGTATTCATTATCTGCTCTTGAGTGATACAGTTTTCAGTTTGGAGTTGAACTATATTGTTATAGGTTTACAGTGGGGTTCAATAACCTTGAACTTATATGAAAACGGGATTTTCTGTAAATGTCTGTTCCTTGTATGAAAACGGGATTTTCTGTTTTAATTTTACTTCAGCTAATACAATATTTAGGCTATTGGCTAACCATCATATGGGGTGGCTTATCCTAACCAAGATTGCTTTGTTGTAAATGGAATGTAGGTTTTTCAATACTAAAGCAATAGCAACTATACTAAATTAGGCAAAAATGTTTCAATTATTAGCTGCAACGTTTTTCTTTCAGATATGGAGTGCAGACAGTTCAACTTTAAGATTGCATTGCAACTATGCTAAATGTAGCTAAGTGGTTATTTATGGGCCTAAACTTAACTTATTTATCCTTCTCCAGAATATATAAGAGCATTTGCAGATGAATTGTTGGAAATTCATCATGGATGTACATGATGAGTTGTGTGTAAGTATATATATATATATGCAAATTCATCATGTTTTGATGTAAACTGAAGTTAAAGACTTTATATATATATATATATATATATATATATATATATATATATGCATTATTTATATATATATCTAATTCATTAAAGATAATTTTAAAAAAAGTTAAATTATCGAACAAAAATAGTTGTTGCAGATTGACTTACTCTGGTGGGTCTTACACAGCATGAAAGATACAATGCAATAATTGAGACATCATGGGATGTTTCTAAAAGATTAGAACAGAGTCATTCGATAATCCTTATAATTGATATGATGTGATTTACTATTCTTTGTAATGACGACATTTAAGAGGATTAATTTTAACCTTAGATGCTCTGTAAAGAAATTTGATAGATTCAGTTTCCATGACTATTTAAGTCATATAATTTGAGTTTGGTTGCATCTTTGGAAACCATTGTCCATCTGAAACCATAGAAAACGAAAGGCAAATCTTGGGAACTTGGCAGTTAATTGTTCTTATAGTCAGTTTTGGAACAAGTTGAAATTCCGAAATTATTTGTTCATTAATTTTTTTAAGAATTACAGGAACAGAAGAACCAAGGGATGCACCGAAATGGGCATTATGCACTAAACATATAAGCAGTATACTCCTTTTATGTTCATTTACCATCAGGAGTAGCGTTTTAACCTCATTTTCTGTAGACAATTTTCTTTTGTTGTGAGAAGGACGTATGCAAGAGTGAGCAACAAGGCAATTATGATATACAAAATGTCACTAATGACAAGTGTTCTTCCATATCCTATGATTTCTTGTAAATGAAATGTAGATTTTTCAATACTAAGCAATAGCAACTATACTAAATTGGGCAAAAATGTTTCATTTATTAGCTGCAACGTTTTTCTTTCAGATATGGAGTGTAGACAGTTCAACTTTAAGATTGCATTGCAACTATGCTAAATGTAGCTAAACCAAAATCTGAGGGTGGTTTGGGAATTAAAGCTTTAGCTAATTGGAATAAAGCAATAGGGGTAAACAGCTTTCTAAGCTTTGTAATTCTCATTCCTCTTAAATCTAGTACTTGGGCCAGAACCAATCTTCTAAAGGATAGATGCATTTGGGATATTAAACCTCCCCATGACCTGCTCTTCGACATGGAGGAAAATTTTACAAATTAGAAGCACATTCTGTCTTTGTATTCAATACATTGTTGATGATGGTAGTCATTCTTTCTTGTGGATTATTTACTGGTTTCCTTTTTGTTCCATTCATCAACCATATGGGGATAGAGTGATACATAATTCTGGTTTGTCCAGAAATGCGAAGCTGAAAGATATTATAAGGAGTGATCATTGGAATTGGCTAGTTTCTCTTCCAAGATCTTCTCAACTACAGTCCTTAATCAGCAATCTTCCTGCTCGATCTAGTTTTAATCCTCTTCTGTATGCTCTATCAGATGGATCCCTTCTTCAAGGTCTTTCTCCACCTTCTCTGCTTGCACTAATCTGAATCCCGAGATTCAGCTTCATTTTTCTTTTGATTTGCCTCTACACTTGGTACTCAAGATAAACTTCTTGGTTATGGCATTATCTTCAATGAGCTGCCTTTTCTGCAAAGTTCCCTTGGAGGATCATGATCTTCCATTCTGCAATTGTCCTTTTCCTTTTAGAATTTGGACTACCGTCCTGCATAATTGTATTCAAATTAATCAGTTGCGTCTTGATACATGGGAGTGGGACACCATCACTAGTTGGGCTTCATCATCATTTAAAAGGGAAATCTCTTAAAGCTACCCTTTTGAAGCTCATTTTGTGTTCATCACTATTTATATATATATATATTCCTAGTTTTTCATCACTATATTATGTGTCTTGAGAGAAATAAAAGAAAGTTTTACAATGAATATGTGGATGTTAATACTATATGTGCCAAGATTTTTAATGCTTTCTGATTTTGAGCTCCATCCCTTGGGAGATATCTTTCTTTTTCTGCTTATAAGTATCTCCAAGGAGTTTGAAATCTTCCGAAATCCTATTCAGTTGATTCTCTTGTTCAGCTAAATTTGTTATATATATGTTTGCTTTAGAGGGGCGGTGTTGTTTTCTGGATAGTCATACTTTTAACTTGGTTGGTTCTGCTATTCTTTTTCTTTGCTAAGCTTAAGTCATTGGTTTCTGGAGATGCTGCTGAATTGGGTTTTCATCTTCCTTATGATTTGTTGGCTGCTGTTTGGATTTTGTATGCTCTTTCTTATGCTGCTATATAATCTGCTGATTTTTCCTTTGCATTTACTATTTTTTCTCTGTTGCTTTGTTAATAAAGTTGGCTTTTCTACTATTGCTCTTGTTGAGCTGTTTTGTTGGCTTGCTAGTCTTTTGTTTGGTTTTTTTTTTTTTTTCTTTGTATGGTTAACTTAGCCTTCTTCTTGTAATTTTCTGATCTTAATAAAGCTTATTCACCCAAGAAAAAAAAAACGTTATAGATTTAATATTACCTTGTACATTAGACCAACCAACATCCTTATCAATTAGTATTGGAAGTTCACCAGGATTCCCCTCATGTCATCTGTTGAACCAACATCCTTATCAAAGTACAAGAATATCAGCCTTTTCTTTTCATATATGTACAGTATCCGACACTTCATATCAAATATAATACTTAGAACAGAAACAAAAACTCTTGTCATCAAGGCAATATGCAAAAGAATATGAATACATGTGTTTTTTCTTTTCTTCATTTTCCCGGTTGTGTATGCTTGTAAGGGAACAGACAGGGATAACAGCAAGATATGAGAATGTGTGAAATTGACAAGTTTAGATGAAGAAACCCCCGCATTTGATTTTATTTTGTTATAGAAGTTTCTTTGAAGTTTGAATGGGGAAAATATCTTCTAGGTCGGATGGACTCTCCTATTTCCCTTCACTTAAACGTTTCGAGATGACATGTGCACTGGTATGAATAGCAGCGGTTGTGGCTCAATGCCTAGGTATTTAGGCTATTGCCTAAGGCTCCACATGGAATAGGACTCCATGGTTTTCTTTATTATTTAATATTCTCCAATTATTTGATATTGACTCCTAAAAGTTTGAACTCCAATCATATGCTACAGGAAAACTTGTTATTACTCTTTCTTCATCCTTATTTTTTTTCTCACTTCATTGCTCTCGTTCCTTAAACCATATTCTAGGTGAAAATTGATTTGCTATTTTGAAATTTTCAATATTATCAAAGCGCAACAAAAAAAATTTAGACATAATGAATGAAAAGTAATTCGCCACCACGATGCTAGAACTTCATTCCTGGCAATGACATTGCTTCTCAACAAAATAAATAAATAAATACCCTAAACTAGCAAGAAACTCAAGATCCATTATTTTTTAATAATTTTTCAAGGACTAACAGTAATTGCACTTTAGAAATTTCACTGAATAAATTAGTCAAAACTCTAAAATTTTTGCCTTAGGCATCAATTTTCATTGAGTCGGCCCTGGTTATGGAATATGTGTGTGACACAAAAATCCAAACTCAAAGTTGCAATCATTGCTTCTCCTGCGTTTTTGTTATCCTACTAATAGTAATACTTGTGCTTGCTCTGCTATTCTGTCCAAGCCTGGCTGAGGAAGAATTACAGAGCGTAAACAAAAAATTAAAAAATGAGTTTTTATTTAATTGATTGATAGAAACTCTTTCTTAACCACATCCTTATGTTTGTGGTCTTTTCATAGCACCATTGTTCTTATACATACATTGACTGTAAAATTATTTTTGATTATTTTATGCATTAAATTATTGATTTTTCTTGGCTTCTTTGTATGGATGCCCCACTATCTAAAAATAAACTTTTTACATATATATATGTATCTTGTTATGTTTCTTCAGGCTGCTTCTTTGGCAGATCTCTAATTTTAGGAGCAGTACTTGAAGCAGGTTTCTTTAATTTGTATGGCAGATTTTCAATGGCTTGTGCAGGGTAGTTGAGATTTATGTGAGGATTAAGAGCAAAAAGGTGGAATGTGTTAGTTGACATAAGAGCTAATCATTTGATACGTATACGATATAATTTGATATTGACACAATAAAGGACATGTATAATGGTTGTGCGGCTACAGTTAGAATGCCTGTAGGTAAGCAAGTGAATTAGGCTTACACCAACGGTCATCATCAAGTCCATACCTTTTTGTCTTGGTTATGGATGAGCTGGCAAGACACATCCAAGATGAGATTCTGTGGTGTATGTTATTTGCCGATGATATTTTTTAGTTGATGAGTCTAGAGAAGGAGTTAATGCCAAATTGGAGGTTCAAAGAGAAGCTTTTGAACTAAAAGGGTTTAAGATAAGTCAAAATAAAACTTGATTAAATGGAGTGTAACGTTAGTAAATATAGAAAGACAAATGAGGATATAGTGATTTTTAACAATCAACATCTACAAAAACGTCCACATATTTGTTATTTAGGCTCAATTATTCATAATGAGGGAGATATCGGAGATGACCTTAATCTTAGAATCAAGGTAGGATGGGTTAAATGGAGAGCGCATCTAGCATATTGTGTGATAGGTGTATCCCCTTGCGATTGAAAGAGTAGTTATGTCAAACAACTATTAGACCAGCCATACTTTATGGTACCGAATATTGGGCAGCTAGGAAACAACATTTGCATAATGTGA